CTCCCCCCCCCCCCCCCCCCCCCCCCCCCCCCTGCTTGCTTCATTCTTGATTAATTTCGTTTTTCTGATCTTGGTATATTTTTGCCGCACGCGTGATCATGCCGCTGGAAGATTTTTTAAATCTTGGGTTTTCCGATGGCAAGAAATGAAAGTTTTCCGGCATTATCGTCTTTTCATCCTTGAGGACCGCATCTTTTGGTATTCGTTTGTGTTGATACGTTCTCGCTGGAATTTTTGACAACAGACTCGGAAATCGAACATATGCTGCTATATACAGTGTGCCTTTTTATGATTTTTGTGTACCCTATACTCGTCGAAATTGTTTTAGATGAGAGGCGGAGAAATGAATGGATTTATTTCGACGTCTTTTGTTGAGAACCATATACCCTTCATTCTGTCTTTTCTTTTGTTTCCATAGGTCGCCTTGTCTCTTTAGTATTGCCAAGATCATTATTTTGCTTTTCTGTTTGGCAGACAAATTGCGTGAGTCCCATTTTACGGCATGTGTGTTCCTTTTATTTAGGGTCGGCGTTTTTTTCTTCGCAGCATCATACAGGTACAGCTTGATGAACATTCGTCGCGATTTTTGCCGCAAACATAACAGACGTCGAAGAACCGCTCGAGGGGAAATCATAGCCGGCCTTTCGCATGTGGAGTACCTTGCGGTGCATGTGTTTTGCTATAGTTACTGAACGAGTATAATTAAGCTTGCAATGCCAAACACACTGTTGTACTTTATATATATATATACTGTATTGAGAATCGAGATGGCGAATCTCGTCGGCTGAGACACGGACGCAGCAAGAAATGAATCAGATATTGTAACGCGGAAAAGATATCGCCTTTGGGAGGCAGGAAAGAGTACTGTTTGCCTTCATTCGTTGATGAGTTTGGACTTCAACGTGTATATTGCTGCAGCTAGCTGCTCATGGCCGGCCGACTTATTTTCATCCATGTATTTATGTCGTTTATTTTTTATAGATATAGTTACAATCAATGTAAGGATGACTTCATTTTTGCCATCATCTCTTCATTATTATTGCTGCTGCTGCCGCCGCCGAACAGGGCCATAGAGCAGGACGTAGGCGCAGTGCCAGTCGCCGCCGCCCGACAGCTTGAGGATGTCGGCGCTGCTCACTTCCGTCACGACGGCGTCGTTCATCTGGAACCAGCTGTCGTTTCCGTTGTGGCCGCCGTTATCGCGACGGATCCATGCCACGTAATGGCCGCTCTGCGAAGTCCTGCCTTTGTGAGTCAGCACTGCCTGTGAATATATATATAACACACACGTGAGTTTAATACGTATTCAGCAGTTTACATACATACTGATAGGACTGTGAATGATACACGGAACTCACTTGTGTTTGGGAACGAGAATTAGCAAGACACGCGTATATATATATATATATACAGCATACAATAAAAGGAGAATCGATGAGAGTGAGAAGATCGATCGAGCAGAATATATATATACTACTGTATATATGGTGCAGACGTCGTGCTGATGATGTTAGATGTGTTGATAAATGATGATTGACGACGACGACGACCACAATGTACATATGATGGAAAATGTCTTACAATATGTGCATTTGAATGTAAAAATGGAAAATGAGGCCTTCCACTTTATTACTGGTTACTAAATAACCGCATACAAACGAAAATTGGACGTATAAATCCGGATGTGTTGAATTTATTCGGATAATTAGCATCCTTCTTATTACTCTACTGCTGGTCATGCGTGCCCGATACAATAAATCGGACGATGACTTGTACACACATCATCACTATACATACACACTTGAAATAATCCAGCGTGCAGGAAATTGATGAACGAAATGTTCAGATTAAACGATGGAGAAGAGAAGCAACAGACTGATGGTAAAAGAAGAAATATACTTTAGTGTGCCGGCTTTTGCGGGGTATTTTACTTGCAGATCGTAGAAGCCAACAGCAGAGATGTTATTATTATTGGTGCTGGAGCTGACATCATCTCGTCGTCGCCGGACGTTGTTATTATTGACAGCAGCATCATCATCGTCCACCAGCACCAGCCCCGGCTGCTGCGATGAAGAGGAGTCTCTTCCGTGTGATGCTGCAGATCTTATTTTCCCATTTATCGTAACGTCGTCGTCGTCACCGTCTGTGATGATCATCGATGCATCAGATGCACGGCGCCTGGCCTCGTCCAACTGCTTCTGCAAGTCTGGGGCACAAAACTCGTACACGTCCAGTCGCATGGGGAAGCTGACGTCTCGAAGCACCTTGGCGTTCACCTTCTCCTTTTCCTTGTACTGGAACCTATATATTATGCAGAACACGTACGGTCATGAATTGAAAAAAATACTGCATGTATACCAGCATGCATGCATCACGTATCACGCGTGTGCTAGCTGTGCTGTACGTATTCTGCGTCAGATATATATAACCTTCGATCGAGCTCACGCTGATGGTTCTCATCGCTTGAATTGGATTCCTTCACACGTTGTTTTCAACACGCACCATGTGTTTAAGCATTATGTTCGGGAGGCGAAGCTCCTCAGTATATATACTGTATATACGGTAAAAGATATAGTTCCTATTATACTGTACTGTGTGTTTTATACTAAAAAGAAAGGCTTTCGTTAATTACATGCAACTTTCATTATATTGCTGCGTTTGGCTTCTTTTCGGTCCAGCAGCAACAGTTATGATTGTCGATTAATCGCTACTATATGAACACGGATGCGCATGCTGCTTCCGGCCGTGCAGCATGCGCATCCGTCTACATGTATACATATACGGTACATGTGAATGCCCGCCGATGAAGTTGCTACAGTATATACAAACAAATCCGATGCTCCTGATGGAAAATTATGAGAAAGAAGGAAAACCTTAACCTTTAATACTGCTCGCATGATACACGGGAATAATTATGCATTACAGGTATGCTAAATTTGCGTTTGTTCAGCGACACCTATAGCCATTGAAACCCTCCGCGATGGAGGTTCAGCCCAAATCACAGTACTGTACAGTACTGCTGTACCGTATACACCGCGGTAATGTATAGGAGCTGAAAACAGCAGCTACAGTAGTACTGTACTGTAGTATACGCAGCAGTCTAATATACAATGATCATGTCCAGTGTGTTTCATGCGTTATTATTTTATATTCCAAGGAGGAGCTGCTGTATATATATACAGTACTTTGCTGTACAAGGATGATACGCACCTGACTAGATGCACTGTCAAGTAGACGGGCAGACGGGTTATCCTGCACACCCGGGAGAAGTCAGCCTTTCTCTTGAGCGCCTCCGACCTCTTGGTGAGCCTCTCGGGCTCGAACCGGGTCCGCAGACCCTGCTGCAGGTATCTGCAGTCGGCGTTGATGAAACAGGGCAGTTGGAGGAAACTCTCGGTCCGCCGCGTCACGGGCTCCTCGTCTGTCTCCAGACAAGTGAAGGTGGACTCCAGGCTGCCTCTGAACAAGGCCGTGACGACGTCCGAAGACGAAGATGACGACGAGTTCTTTTGCAGCAGAACCTATGTGCATCATATATGATCATCATATACTGAATGCACATGCACACTGCTGTACTCTATATACAGGAGCAGCACCGGACACTTTTCCAACACTTTCCAAGACTGGGCTAATTTTATCCTTTTTCAGACTTCTTTCAATAAATCTGCTGAGCCCATGCAGTTGAGGAGGACTTATTGTGCTTATTATTATACAGTGAGACCCCAAGATGCGTACATAAGTGGTGCATCAAGAGTGTCCCTAAATTGATGAGTCTCATTTTCCCTTGGACTTACATTATATAATTTTGAATTGGTGTTTTCTGTACAAAATACTCACCATAATTCCATGAAAATAAAAATATTCTCCCAATTTAAACTGATTCCAATCAATATATTCAACACAATGTAGGCATTTGGGGAATTGAATACTGATACCTCTGTAAAGTGTACATAGAAATGTTGGCTGTAAAAATAATATTCAAGCGAAAAAGAGCAAAGGAAGTCCCTCTATGCTGGAGGTGATTTTTTCTAAATTAGCTAAATGGATGGTAAATTGGTGAGAGAAATGCCCAAGAACTTTTTACATCAATTTTAGGGTTGGAAATATCTGTTTCTTGTAATTTGGCCCAAAATGCATTTGAAATTTTACAGAATAACAAAATGTCCCTATGTTGGGTCAGTGTCCTCATGTTGGGCCTATTTTATTATTTTTTTATTATAAAATAAGTGTCCCTATGTTGAATTGTCCGCAGGTCAAGGTGTCCGCACGTGGGGTCTCACTGTATTTGCTTTTTGGATTCCATTTCATGCTGTTTGTATACTGTATTTTCTGCATACGTTGAAGATGAAAAAACAAAGATTATTCCATTTGGGGTTCCTGGACTGAACATAATTTTTGATCAACGGGAGAAACAATTGACGACTTGATCTATCAATTAAATTGAAAGGCTTTATTGCTGCTGTTGTATTTATCGATCGTAAACTTGCAATTGAATGATAATCAGAAGCCTGTTGAGCATGCATAATGAAATGTGTACAGTAGTTGAATAATCTCACGCGTGTACCGTCATGTCATTGTCGACTGCAGCACCAGCAGCCAGCTTCACCTGATCCTGCAGGACTCGCATCAACTCTGTCCAGCACTCGTTGGCGTCTTGCTGCACGTACGTGCCGTCGCTGTTCTTGACGGCGAACCCGGGCATGCACTTGAACAAGGCGGCGAGCAGGGCAGTGGGGGCGTAGGAACTCAGCTCATTGTTGGCCGTCACTCGCGGCGGCTCGTCCAAGGCGCGGAAGCACGTTTTCAACGCAGTCGCTAGTCGAGCCTCGTCCAACGATGAGACTGCTGATGATCGGCCTGTAGCAGATGCGACACCTGTCGGAGCTTGAAACGCCCGCAGGGCGAACCTCAGTTCGCGGACACTGTGCATGCACTGGATGGTGGCGTTCAAGTAGCACGTGTTGCCCAGGTTTTCCAAACCTACAGATATAAGTAAGAATCAACAATTGTAACCAGTATGAAATAGTGTGTACAGTATAGAGTATTGTTTTTATACTCAGGGACCATGTATAACGCGCGAATAACGTATGCTTCACATAATGAATGTCGAGGATCGAAGCGATACATTTTATTATTAATTAACACGTTTTTATTAACTCGCTTTCTTGTCCGTTTTAGATTAATTTTTTAATCTACTATAATTATTTACTGTATACAGCTGTGCACTTGCTGCGACAATCTTGTCTACAATGATTTTCTCCCTGAGTGTATAACGCATTCTTGACTTCTTGTTTTGGTGCCATAGGGTTATTTCCTCGTCAAATAATATAGGGGCTCACTGAAAAAAATTATCTACACAATTAATTTGTTGTAGTCTCTTGAATTTAATCGTGAAGATGACAAGAGTCCACCTATATATACATACTGTAGCACAGTACAGCAGTACTGTATATAGTTTATACAGTACTGTATATGGCTTTGAACCTTTAGGTATGAATGTGGGTGCATCCTCTGTGAGAGTAGTTGCGTCAGGGATTCGTTCTGACATCCCACTCAGGGATTGCTGATCAAGCGGTAAGTCCTCCTCGCGAGTCCCCATAAGTAATAGAGTCGCTCCATCCTTGATTCGAGCAACATCCCAAGAGTCTCCATTGATCGTCTTTCCTGCTGCCACTATCTTTTGTCGTGAAGGTTCTACTCCCGTTAACTTGCTCAAACGTGTTTGAAAAGCCTGTGGGAGGAAGAAAAAAAGCCGATGAAGGCGGCCTGAATCCGTTTACGTGTCCATATTATTGATGAAAAGTTCAGTGGAAACGTGCATGAGGTTCATCGGTGTTCAGCTTCAGGTCATTCAGGAAAGTTTTCCCCCAGCGAACATTCACCTGATAAGTCGGCATAATTTTTCGGACGAATCTCTGAATTTCGGGCAATCAAGTATGAATCATGTGGAGATTTCAGTTGGATGATCATTCTCAAGATTTCATTTCAGCCGAATTTAAGAGAAGGCTGCATTTTCATGAGGTTTTTTCCTCCGTCTTTTTTTTCCCCCGCGGTAAACAGTATTCGGTGTCGAATGTAAGAGAACGTGCATTACATAGCCGAGCAAGGGATAGTTTGGCTCCGTTTTTCTGTGAAGGCTGTGGTCCATCTTATAGTAGCGCCGCATTCGCCGACATGCTACTGTATGCGTTATACCGTTTCTGAGCTGGTTTTGAAGCGATCGTGCTGCATTTTTATTGGTTGAGGCCGTTCGATGGCTTGAGTTTTCGTTTCACTAAAGTTGCTGAGGTAGTGTGCGAATCATGTTTGTGAAAGATGGACTTGGAGAAGACTTTCTAGTTGGATGGTAGTGCGATTTATGATGACTTGAAGTTCCTGTTTAGACCGTGTTCGTCTTGGGTGAACTTCAATTAAACTGCCCTTTCTCTGTTCATTTTGTTACAGGTTTTAGTCTAGAACGCTCGTTTCGAAGCACGCCCGTGAGAGCGAGGAAAAAGTACCACATGAACTCCTCAAGTGTTAAAAATCTCCCGTAACCACGATTCATTTTGTTCTTTTTTCCGTGAGTGCCACGTGTTTTCCCTGCGAACGAATGAATTCACTCGCTCCATTCGTTGGCCGCGTTTCGTTCATCATGCAACGAGTTTCCTGAAGTGTCATTTTTGGTCGCTATGACCACATGGACTGAAAGAATGCATCGGCGAGCCGCCACGATCGGCACGGTCGTCACATCTTGTGCTCACCAGTCCTCTTCGCCGTACCCGAGACGTATCGAGAAGTGAGTTCGATAATTTGGGTTGAATGGATCACTGTATTGTTTCTCCGGGGGTTTTTCAGGGTGAAATTTGGACTGCCTCTTGAACAAGTATGCCGCAAAGATATTCCTGGACCGCTTTTGGTATGTGTACCTTTGAATAGGCTGTGTCGGTTCGGATTTGTGAATGGGATCGCTTTCCGTTCAGGTGATGGTTTTGCGACTGAACAAGGAGGGGCCGTTCAAACGTGACGTGTTCCGCGCTCCGGGGCATCAGGCAAACATGAAAAAACTCGTGCACATTCTTCAACACGGCAGACTCGTCAACATGGAGAACTTCTCGGTGCATACGATCGCAAGCGTCCTCAAGAAATTTCTTCGCAAGATCCCTGGTGGAATTTTCGGACCTGAACGGGAAAAGCGTCTTTTTGAGCTGATTGAGTGGGAGAACTTGGAAGAGAAGCGGGAAGAAGCCCAAAAGTGAGTGTTGAAGTGCTTGATATCCTACAAGACTAGTTGAGTCATGATCGTTGTCTCGCGTTAAGGTTGATCCGTGGTCTGGACTTGAACGCCCAGAGGCTTCTCACGCTGCTTATCGGCACATTCCGCATGATTTCGTCTCGCTTTGACGCCGTGGCGTGTCCGACGCGGATGTCGTCGGAAGCCCTGGGCGTGTCAGTGGCCCCTTCATTCTTCCACAGCTGCGTTTCCGAAGGCAAGAACGCGTGTCTGGAGGACGTGACTCGTTTCAAGGTAGAAAAGGTTTTTCCTCTCTGGCAATGTTGACGAAATTATAAATGTGTTCCCCTTCTCGTTTGCAGAGTGCGACGCGAATCATAACGTTCCTTATTGACAACTTCGGCGTGAGCAACTTGTTCGGGCGCGACAACTACGAGTACTACGCCAAGATCACGGGCCGCATCCTACGAGTGGAAAATGACTGGATCTTCTGCGTCCGCTACCCCGTCGAAACTGCGATCTGTAGTAAGTTTTCATTGTCCGTGCAGAATCGTGATGTAAACGTGCCTCTAATTCCTCCTTTTCCAATTGCAGGCAGCGAAGAGAGTCAGTCTACCCCAGTTTTAGTCGACTCTGAGGTTAGTAACGACGGTGTCGAGAGTTTAGATGCCGCCATCATCGAACGCGAGCCTAGCTTGAGTCAAACTGCGTCGGGACGATTGTCTGTCAGCCTTGGTGGTAACGGAATTTTCCAGGTACGATTTCTTGTTTTTTTTTCTTCCCCCGTACCCAGGATATTTCTGCAACATTTTAAATTCAGACCCTCGTCATTCTCGGGTAATTTTACTTGTTCTTTCCCTTTCGCGAAGAAGACGTGTCGAATAGTGGACTCCCCGGGTGCGGATAAGCTGCCAAAGGGAAGCCAAGTGGCTTCGAGTTGTCAAGTTCTTTCGTCGAGAGTGATGAGTCCCTGCGAAGAGCGGGCGGTGATGAGCGAAGAGGCGACAGCGGCGGAGGACTTGCGGGCCCGCAACAAGTACGCGGAGAGCACGCGTTCCCTTTCCTACCTGCCGATGGTATGTACTGGCGTGACGTCATTCGTTTTTCTGAATCGAGAAGTCGTTTATTATTATTATTATTATTAACATGTCTTAGGTGCACGAGAGACAGACTGCGAGGATGCGAACCAGGTCGGAGTGGTTTTTGTCGCCGAACATCGCGACGGACTGTGCGACGTCGTCGGTGCACATGGCTGCCGGGATTGGGGACTCGATAGCTGAAGAAGATTCGTGCTATTACTCGTTGACAATCCTGCCCTCTGCAGCTGGGCTGTGTGATACCAACTCCTCCAGCTCGACTGATGGTGGTGCCGTGGCAAAGGGTCCGCAGGCCCGACCCTTGGCGAGTGTGGAGAACCGGCGCCCGCGTTCCGGGGTCTGCGTCGGAGCAGGTGCTCTGAGCAAACGTGTTTTATTCGTCGGAGTTGACGTGAACGAGGTTTCTTTATCGTTGCTTTAGTGGCAGTGAAGGGGGACTGGTCGTGTTGGGGACCTGGAGTCAACAGCAAGGTCAAATGTGTTCGACGGGACCAGAGCGTCAACAACGTACTCCAAGGTTATTATTATTATTCCCTCGTGGCTGGAAATGAGCTGTTGAATAAATTCAGTGTACGTGGCGAGAAGTACAGTGTTTTATTTGTGTATTGTTCTCGAAACAGGAGAAGCATGTTCTGGAAAGACCGAAGCGACGAACGCGGGATCCGGTCTGAAGAGAGAAGATGAGGAAGGAATGTTGACCTCGGGCTCAGAGGAAGAGTCGAAGATTGTGCGACGCACGTCGAGTCGGAAAGAGAAGCGGGGACCGAAGGAGTCGGCTGCAGATTCTTCGGCGGCTTCGGTCGCCTCCCCGAAGAAGAAGCAGCGGGAATCTGGGGATCTGGAGCAAGAAAACTCCGTCGTGGGCATCAACTGATGCTCGTGACGTCGACGTGAACAACGGTTCTTTTTATTTAATTTATTTATCTGAAGTATTGTTCGCGCAGTTATTCAAAATACTAGAACGAATGTGCTCTTTTTTATATACTGTACTGTATTGCACCGCGCAAGGGAAAGATATATTTTTTGCATGTATTCCGTAGTTGTGCGGTATATTCGCCTACCCGACAAAAGTAACGGTTGCCCGAGTTGTGCTCTCGTTTATTTTTCTGTCTCTGTCTCATCCGTGTTTCTTTCAATTTTCTTCTTTTGGCTGCTTTAACGCATATATTTTCTATTGAGAGTGGAAATGATGATGTTCTCTTCCCCTACTGTTGAAACTATGTCGTGGGAACTTCGCATTCTTCACCGTTTGCCGCCTGCTTGCGTCAAGCTTATCACCCTTAGCTACTTCTGACCTCGATCAAATTTAAATTATATGTGCGTGCGTTCTGAAAGGCGTCGATTCTCTCATTTTTTTTTTTTTTTTTTTTTTCTCTTAGGCACAGCAATACCCTGACTTCGACGCAGAAGGANTCGCTTCTCTCTTTTTTTTTTTTTTTTTTTTTCGCTGAGGAAGAGAAAATCTTGTTACCTGACTCTCTCTCTGAAAAATGAAAAGGCTCAGGAAAAGCTGATGAATTTCAATGTTTGACCGAGAAACGCATATGGAATATTCTGAAGCTCAACGACGAATAAAAACGGAGAGGGGGCTGGGTTATCTGGTTTCACGGGGAAGAATTTGGTTGGGGATTTTCTTTATCTGCCAAAAGTTCTCCACTTTGGGTCAGTGATTTGGGAACAAAATTGAAACAAGGAAAGCGCGTGAATTTGAAATGCGTCTGTTTGATCTCTTCATGGACCAGTCATGTTCTTTTTTCCTTGTTGGTGGTGAATTTTTCAACGAAAAGTGTGCTCCCGATTTCTCTTGCATGGCATCTTTGGGTCCCTATATTTTGCGAAATGTTGACGGGAGTGGTCGGAAGCTGAGGAATCGTCGATTTTTGCAGTGGAATTAGTCTGTATTTCGTAGTCGTGAATTTTTAATGACATGAGGGGCTTGACCACGTAATACTCCGGAAATTTCTCTCTCGACACTGTTGGATTAATTTGATGGAGCATGACACTTTGACGTTGGTTGAATTTCGTTCGGGAAAGGAGTGGAGGACGTTCGATACTCCTAGAAACAGATCCCAAAGACATCTGAATGTGATTCTCTCGCTGAATCGAGCTCAAACTTGCTGGGAGGGTCTGCTTTGTTTTATCGAGTTCTGCGATTTGCTTTCGCATTCGGATTGTGTGTGTATTATTGTCAACTTGCTCAAGGTTTTGCCAATCATTCCTCTCGAAATCTACGGAGTTTTGTGAAGTAACCCAAGAGGACATATCGCGATGGTCTTTGTCTATTTTTCCACTCTTACGAAGAAGGCAATGATAAACCGTGCCCATTTTTTTGTGTCGTCTTGTTGCTGGTTGTTGAACCCACGACTTGTTGGAAATTTTTTCAAACGGAGGGTTTCCGCTAATTCTATCTCTCTGTCTCTCACTGCTGTGCTTCGGGGATCCATTTACTTTCCAAGGGCAGGTTTGTTGAAAAAGAAGTACTGTATTGAAACTCAATTTCATTTTGTGTCGCTGTTCCAAAATTGTTCAAGACGACCGTCACGAGGCGAGCAATCATGCCAGAATGCCAAAGATGCAGAGAACCTCTTAATTTAAGGATTCCACCTTTTTTTTTTTCTTTCTTTCCTCCCCATTCTGAAGCAGTCATGAGCACGTGTGGAAGTCGTGTGCCTCTTTCCGCGCTGCAGCAGTTCAATCTCGTTCATTCTCACTTCCAAACGATCTTCGGGTCGGCTTGTTGGAATTATTTATTTTTTGTGGGAAGTGCCTTACGTTGGCATGCGTGTGTTCCCGAAATTGAGTTACGAGTGCCCATAGTATTTGTTTTATGACTGCCGAAGTATTCATGACCTCGTGGTGAGTTTTTTTTTCGGATCGTCAGGAGGTACCGTGACGTGCAAATATTTATGAGCGAGGAAGTGTCTCATTTTTCGTTGCTTTGTTTGCCCTGCATCATGAGTAAAAAGAAACGCACGCGTGAATATATATTTTGGTTGCGCATCTTCTTAGAGGTGAGGTTCGTGTTGTTCCAGGACTGCACAAGGTTCCATGAATCTGGAGGACATTTTTTTCCTCTCAACGGTTCTATTCAAGTTGGAAATTTGAAGAGTGCGTGAATGGTTTCCCCCTCGTTCGAATCTTAACGTGCGACATAATTCGTTCGCACGTGACACCGAACCAAAGCCTTGTCTTCCTTATGTTTTGGAACAAAAGTTTGAAGATCTTTTTTTATTACATTTCGCGGCCAGTTGAAGCATTCATTTCTTGCTTTTTGTGTTCCTCACTTGACGGGGGTCAAATGGAAGCGGAAGACAAACGTCCGAGATTTTCGTGTCGGGGGCAAACGTTGTATTGTTTTCTTTCTTTTTCAATCATTTGCCTTGAGTTGTAACCAACAGGATGTATTTTCTCCTTTTAGGGATTCACTCACTCCTTCTTTATTGGCAGAGTCAGGAAAATGTCCACGTTTTTGGGCATGAGTGTGAATGGTGTGAGGAGCTTCTGTCCTGGGAGAGAGGAGAAGATCGAGTTTGAAGCCCCTTTGACGTTGATCCTTGGACAAAACGGATGTGGGAAAACTGTGAGCGTTGTTGTTACCATGACGTCGTAAGATAAGTAATTGGCGCCTCTTTTAGACCCTGATAGAGTCCCTCAAGTTGGCGGTGAGCGGAGATTATCCTCCACAAAGCGACATGGGAAGGTCGTTCATTCATGACCCGAAGATGACGGACACGTCGAAAGTGAGTTGACGATAATTCAGTGAGTCTGTCGCACGCTTATGCGAAGGGCGTCTAACGAGTCATATATGGAGTGGAAAGGTCTGGACGTCGAATCTTGAAATAAGCTCTCGCAAAAATGACCAACAAATTGGCTGTTTTTAAAAAAAGAAAAAAGTTCTAGGAACAGGGAATTCTGTTTAGGAGCATCAGTTCGATTTGGTATTTAGAAAAAAAAAAGGATATGAAATTTATCAAAATTCAATCAACTCCCAGGCTCAGTTCTAGCTAGCTACGCATCACAGTTGCAGTAAATGGAATTCGAGATGACCGAATGAAAGTACTGTATCAAGCTTCTTTCCTGATACGTACGAAGTTGACTCATAGGGTGAACAACTGGAGTTTTTGCTGCCTAATGAAACTGTTCGGATACCTTTCTTTTGGAATGCAGGTAAGGGCAACAGTAAAACTGAGGTTCGTCGGGAAGCGTGACACGATTGTCGAGGTGTGTCGGAACGTTGAAGTTCAGCTCAAGTCGGATGGAAAACTTCAGTTGAAAACCGTTGACTGTGCAATAAGGAAACGGCATATCCATAATCTTTGGGTGATCAATGCTCAATTCCCCGACGCGGGATCTTGATTATGTTAAATTTATATATATATTTTTAATACGATTGTTTGTCTGTCTTTCCAGCCTCCGAAAATGGCCACATCCAAGTGTATCGACGTGAACCAGGAGATTGAACATTTACTGGGAGTGCCCAAAGCCGTGATGACCGATGTGATGTTTTGCCACCAAGAGGATAGCAATTGGTAAAGTCTCTCCGATTTTGCAAACGTGGATATTGAACGTGCTTCAGTACTTGTGTTTAGGCCTTTGGATGAGCCGAAACGCGTTAAAGAAAAGTTTGACAAGATTTTCTCTGCGGACAAGTACATCAAGGGAATGAACGAGATCCACAAGAAGCGCAAGAAAATACAAGAAGGTGTCGTCTTCGTCGAGGTCCTTGAGACAAGCATCTTGATTGAGATTCCCCTTTTTCTCTTCCGACAGACCTTAAAGAGTCTCGCCTGAGGTTGACTTACTCCAAGTCCGACCGGGAAATGGCCAAGTCGAAGCGCCTGGAACTCCGGCAATTGGAGTCGAAGCTGGAAGTGGTTGAAGCCGATTTGGAGCGATTGAAGGGGGAATCTGCTGCCCTGAAACAGCAGAGGATCGAGCTTGCCACCAAAGAGGAGGCCCTCAAAGAGGCCCGTTCCAAAAAGGGTAAGTGTGTTCATGTCCGTCCTTGCATGCACTTATGAAATTTTACAGTACGGTACACTTGTATGCCTGTGGCTGCGTGTGTTGTTCAAGGTCGTGTATGTTTCAAGGCTTCGATACAGTGTGGAATAGGCTGTTGAAAACTTGATGATTATTTGCTTCAAGAATCCCGTTTGTCTGAGTGAATGTGGAAAGAAAACTTGGATATGCTGTATAGTACTGTGTTCGATTTAATTTAGATAGAAGCTGTGCCAAACTGGACTACCTTCGCAAAACTGCGGATGACCTGCTGGAAAGTGTCGGCGAAGAACCCGGTGAAAGCAAGGAAGACCTCCTTCGTCACGTGGAATCCTTCCCTACCCGAATCGAAAACATTGAATCCGAGTTGAAAAGTGCCGAGGCGCAGCTGGAGAAATGCGCGAAGTCGCGGAAAACGTTTAACAACCAGAGAGACGCCGACCAAAAGCGACTGGGCCAGTTGGAGAGCGAGGAGAAAATCCAGGGAATCCGGGTCACTCGTCGACTCGAAGAAGCCCGGAAACTCGTCGATGACTACCATATTGTTCCGGGTTAGTTTCGAACCCGTTTAAACACGTAACCGTGCAGTAAAGTACGATACGATGCTTGATTATAGGAAACGAATCCTCTGGAGAGTTTGTCGATCAGGTTGCAGCCCAGTTGGACAGCCTGTTGGAAGATAAGAAAATGTACGTCGAGACGATGCGGTTCGAATGGGACGAGGCGATCCAAGCTTGTGCCAACAAACTGGGAGCCTTGAGGTACGCTAATGAAGCCCACATAATAATGTCCTTACTAAATCTTTTTGGTGCAGGGACATCTTAATTTTTTTTATCAACTTTGAAAGATTAAAAAAAGAAATTTAGCTTATTGGATTCAGGAAAGAGAGGGAGAATATGCTTGGGTTTCCACCGGAAAGCCGTTCCACCTACACCCGCTCTCCTCCCTCCTGGAGACATTTCATTCTTTACTCTTTGGGGACATGTATCTTTTGTTTTCAAGCATTTTAAAATTCAGAAAACCAATAAGTTCAGTGCTTTGTTCAAGAGTAACATTGTTCAAAGTTAGCTAGTTTTACTGTAGGCTTGGTTATTTTATTTTTAGTCAGGTTGGTTTCAACATCAACTTGGGTATGATGCTGTTTTACATTTTTCTTGGATGAAATTTTGCGCAAAATTTTACTTGGATATAAATTTCAGATTTCCTCGATAAACGAAAGATGATAGGCGACGAAGGATATCGGAGGTAGAAGGGAGCGGGAACGGATTATCGGTGGATAATCTCCTGAACGATTTCTAACCAATGCAAACCTAGTAACCCAGTTGTGGTTATACTGTAATATAATATAAAAAAAATTGAAACGATCTTCAAATTAATCCACAAACGAGCATCTTGCATTGGCAAGCATATCTGGAGCCCCCATCCACACGCGAATGAAAGTGGTCTTCCAGCTTCGGGGAAAAAAATTAAAAAATTTAAAAAGAAAAGAACTGGGAAAAAGACAAATTTAGGTCCACCGTTCTCCTTACTAACTTCCCATTAATGGGAAGTTAGGAACCGGCATCGGTACTTATGAAAGAGCCCTCAGTCGTACTTCGTCTGCAGGGAAGAGCGTTCGGGGATCCAGACGGAAATCCGCCTGAAGAAGGAGTCCATCGCAACTTGGGGCACGGAGGCGCAGGCCAAGAAGAAAAAGTGCAACTCGTCCCTCGCGCGGGACTCCGAGCAGCAGCGACAGGACCTGAATGACGAGCTGGCCTCCCTGGACGCCGACATTGTCAAGGAGGAGCAGTCGAGTGAGCGAGACGCGTGTGAGGCGCAGTGCAACCAGCTGAACGAGGAGCGAGCCGCCAAGAAGCAGCGCCGGAAGCAGCTGAAGGCCGAGTACGACGAGTTGGCGGAGAAGCAGGCGGCTGTGACGCAGGCGGAGGAGCTGCGGAAGGATCTCAAGTCGAAGCGGGAGGCGGTGGACAAGGCCTGGGATGCGGACATGAGGGACCGATTCGGGCAGGTGCTGGACGTGGCCGACGTGGACTTGAATACCCTGACTTTGCTCCTGGACGAAAAGCACGCATCCCTGGTACATTTAGGATCGATCGATCAATGCACTTGTCATTTCCAAGGTGATCAATGTTTTTTCTTGATTGGATTCCTTTGTAGGAGGAGCAGCTCAAGTGTAAAGAAGCTGAGGCGAGGCGGATGAGAGAAGAACACGGACTAGTGAAAGCCCAATTCCAACACGCCAACGAGCGACTCGCAAAGCTCGGTTCGGGAATTCAAGGTGTGCATCCATCATTGTTGAACCCTTTTCCTTTCCTTCCTTTTTTCCGTATTGAAAAACGGCATTTTTTTATTTACGGGTTTTCTCTTTAGTTGAGGACTGAAGTGACGCTTTTTCCTTTTTTTTTTCTTCACATTTTCATTCTTTTTCTTGCACTCTAGAACTGGACGTGAAATTGAAGAAGTCTTTGGGGGCGGAGAAAAGTTTGCAGACGGCCATGGATGAAAACCAGTCGCGCATTTCCGAGCTGAGCGAGGCGATATCCGAAGGTGCAGCGTTTGGCAAGCTCATGGACAAGTTTGTAGCTGCGTTCAGGTGCAGGAGCAAGCCTCATTGTCTGGTTTGCAACCGAGGTTTCGTCTCGGCAGAAGAAGCAGAAAGTGCAGCTGTTGCCGTGAGTGTTTTTTTGTTTTTGTTTTTTTCGGTTGGCGACGAAGGGCTTGGGGGGGGGGGGGGGACTATATTTTCAATTTTCTATGGCCTCTGTCTAAAACTCTCTCCGTTGCGCGTTAGGTGAAGCAAAGGATACAAGGAGCCGCGAAAATGGACGATTTGCAGGCAGAGTTTCTGGAATGTCAGCAAAAGTCAAAAATGCTCGAGTCTTTGTTGCCCGTGAGTGCTAAGCGTGCGGAGTTGCAGAAGGAAAAGCCTGCCTTGCAGTGAGTAGTCGTCTCTCGAAATTAATGCTCATGAGAAAAAATGGAAAACTAGTTGGAATACTGTATTGTAACAAAGCACCAAAAACTCACTCGCTTAAGTCAAAGTATTTTAGGCTGTAGCATTTATGCGTGCCGTTTTCGATGCTTGTTGAGTACACTTGGCTCGCTCGACACAACCCGACGCGTACATTTTGCAGGAAGGAGGTGGAAGAACTCGAGCGAGAAACGTCGTCTGGTTCAGCGAACTTGACGGCCGCGGAGAAGGCCGTCGAGGAGATGAAGGAGTTGCTGAGCAAGTGCCGACTGTTGTTTGGTCCTGCGGAATCCCTGAGTCTGCGCTTGCACGAGACGCAGGCCTTGAAGCTGAAACTGTCCGCTGCCGAACGGAACCTGGGTTTGAATCGCAGCTTCACCGAAACGCCGAAGAAGACGTTGGCTGAGGCAAAGGCGGAACTGGACGACTTGGAACATTCCCTGGAAAAGATCGATTTTGACGTCCAACAACTGCAGACCAAGAGGGAACAAAGGGCTCAGAAGTTGCTGCGGTTGAGGCAGAAGCGTGTTGGCATTGAGGACGCCATCAGAGAGGTGAGGACTGAAAGCGAGTGAAAGTTATGGGGAAGGAAGGAAAGAAAAATTAATCTACTCCTCCTATTCGTGCGCGTTCACCTTTGCCAGGTTCGCAAAGCACTGGAGGAAGGCATGCTGGCCGAGCAACGTCTGATGGAGCTCGAGCGATGGATCCACGCCGCAAAAGGCGAAGTGGAATTGAAGGAAAAGGAACTGAGGCCGATGGAAGACCGAGAAAAGAATTTACTTAAGGAGAAATCCGAGGCTGAGGACAAGAAACGTAGAGTTATGGACTCTGGTCGTCAGGAAGTGAGTCCCGTTTTAATTTTATTTCTTAATATTATTTTTTTTTTTTGGGGACGTTGTTTCTCACGTTTCTTTGTTTTGGACAGATGGAACGGCTCAAGAGCCAAAAGGCAGAGTTCGAGCGAACCGGGAAAGAGATCGAAGAGTACAAGGCCAGGGGCGTTGGCAGGGAACTCGAGGAAGTTCGCAGAAAACTCGTCGCCGTGGCTCGTGAACTGGACTCAAATACCCGAGAAGAAGCCCAAGTTCGGGAGCGTGTCAGCGGGTTGCAATCGGAGGTCGGCAACTCGAAGGTATGGTATCAAATCCGGATGGAAGCTGTACATGTACATCATTTTACTCTACTGTACTGCACTGTAATTCGTACGCAGCTGAGGCATCAGCAGCTGAAATCCTCGCTGAAATTGCTGGAGACGCGTGAAGCGATCCAGGCGGAAGAGGAGCAGCTGAAAGAACTGACTGCCCAGTACGAGAAGTGCAATCCTACGCACTTGCTGGACCAGATACACGCCGTCTCTTCGAAGTGGATTCACTTGGAGAAGGAGGTGAGAGGAGAAGCGAAGCCTCGTTTTTCGTTTCATTGACTGAAATGAGTCTACTCTGGGTGATGATGCTTTAAATTTGCTTGTTAGACGACGGAAAAGGCCGTGGAGCGGAACATGATGCAGAAGAATGCGGAGGAGCGGCGCGTGGAACTGGAGGAGAAGCGACTGAAGGACGCCCACGTGCTGTACGCCAAGGGCGTCTATGAGCTCAGCGTGCTCGAGGGCATTTGCGAGGACCTCAACCACTACTACATCTGCCTGGACAAGGCCATTCTCAAGTTCCACTCGGAGAAGATGTCGGAAATCAACCGAATCCTCGAGGAGATGTGGAGAGAGACGTACAGAGGAGGAGGTGAATCTTCTAGTGTACAGTGCTTGTGTGTGTGTGTCGAGTGGTATTCGAGTCCAAGTGATTGATTCTGTTTGATATTTCCCGCCGCAGATATCGATTACATCCAGATTCTGACGGAGCGAAATGACAAGGACACGGATTTGGGTTTGGATGCCAAGCGGCGTGTCTACAACTACCGGGTTGTCATGTTCAAAGGAACCACCATGTTGGACATGAGGGGGCGTTGTTCTGCTGGTCAGAAGGTTTGTTGTTTCTTCTTCTTCTTCTTTGTTCACGTGTGCCACAGTCAGTCCAAAAGCATTGCAAGTTTTGAGAGCTGTTCTGAAATGTTGTGACCAGTGGGTTGGTTTTTTTTTTCTCTGCAGATTTTAGCTTGTCTGATCATTCGCATGGCCCTGGCGCAGGCTTTCGGAGCCAACTGTGGAGTTCTGGCACTGGATGAACCCACGACGAACCTGGACAGCCAGAACATCGCGGCCCTGGCTGAGGCCCTGATGAACATTGTTGATAAGCGACGAGGACAGCAGAGTTTCCAATTGGTCATCATTACCCACGATGTCGAGTTTCTGAACAAAATCATACAAAAGGAGAAGGTTTCTCACTTTTTCAAAGTTTCCAGGAACCTAATGTGAGTAACGTGCAATACGGAACAGTATTCCGTTGTCTTTTTCTTTTATCGGGCCACCCAAGCATGGAAACAATGATTATTGATTTTTTTTTTCAGGGGTTATTCCGTCATTACGAAAGAAGAAGTGAAGAAGCTTTGAGAAAAGTGGATACGAACAAAGCAAGCCTTGTTTTTCACTTTTTTACACTCTTGACGGGGTTAGACTCGGAAAGAGTTGCAGCGAAAATGTTGTTTTGTTTTTTTTTTTTTTTTTCGTGTTCTCACGTCTGTTAAACTTTATTCCCACAGGAAGGTGTTTTGTTTGTGATACGCGAAAAAGGTGATCGATAGAAATTATACAGTGGTGATCGGTCATGATTTCGTTGAAAAGGCGAGTCTAATGCGTGCACTCCTCGTGGAACTCGATGTGCGAATGATCTTGTATGCATTAATATTTCTCTTGCAGCATTCTGCCTCCCCCGGTGCAGTCTGGGTGGGACGCGGATGCAGTGAGTAAGCCGACCAGCGCTTCGTCGTCGTCGTCTCTTCCCGGAGTGATCGCAGTGATTGCCAGTTGTACAGCGCCACCGTATGGCGACCGGAAGGGATGGGTGCCTCGGAATCAAGAGGTCAGTTGTACAGTACTGTATATATATTATTATTTTTTTCTACGAGTGGGGCAGAAAAAAAAATGAGGTGGTGCTCATGCATTACTCTATTTGTAAATGCATTTATCTTTACCTTAGGATTACGGGGATGGAGGCGCCTACCCGGAGGTGGCTGTGGCGCAGTACCCGTTGGGCATGGGGCGCAGTGGCCAACAAGACGGTGCCAAGAAGAGCAACGCCGTCGCGGTACAGTTGGATGCGAGTGGGAAAGTCAAGTACGACGTGTTGGCGCGACAAGGCGCGAGAGCCGACAAGGTATCGTATATTTGTATTTAAAAATTTGTTGATCTTGAAATTGCAATACTAAAGTACTACTGCTGCCGCACTGCAGGTGATCTACTCCAAGTTCACCGACCTGCTGCCGGCGTCAGCTCGCGGCGACTTGGGCGACGATGACCTCCGCGTGCCGGACGACGAGGAGGTGGACGAGACGACGACCGCGACGCGGGAGGCACTGGAGAAGCTGACGCAGAGCAAGATCACCGCCGCCATGCCCGTGCGGGCCGCCGAGAAGACGGCGCCGGCCCAGTACATCCGCTACACGCCGGCCCAGCAGGGCGCCGGCTTCAATTCCGGCGCCAAGCAGCGCATCATCCGCATGGTGGAGGTGCAGAAGGACCCGATGGAGCCGCCCCGGTTCAAGATCAACCAGAAGATCCCGCGGGGCCCGCCTTCTCCGCCGGCGCCGGTTCTCCACTCCCCCACCCGCAAGGTGACGGTGAAGGAGCAGCAGGAGTGGAAGATTCCGCCGTGCATCTCCAACTGGAAGAACGCCAAGGGTTACACGATCCCGCTGGACAAGCGACTGGCTGCCGACGGACGCGGTCTGCAGCAGATGCACATCAACGAGAAGTTTGCCAAGCTGGCCGAGTCCCTGTTTATTGCCGACCGGAAAGCGCGCGAGGCCGTCGAGCTCAGGGCCACGATGGAGAAGCGTCTGGCCAAGATTGAGAAGGAGAAGCGGGAGGAGCACTTGCGGCAAATGGCTCAACGAGCCCGCGACGAGCGAGCGGGTTTGGGGTGAGTGGAGTGATACAATACAATACTGTAGTAGGATTGATTGATTGAATTGTTGCGTTGCAGTCCGTCGAGGCCGTCGCGGCATGAAGATGACGTTGGTGCCGGAGTCGGCGGCAGTCGAGATGAGGACCCCGAGGAGGCAGCGAGGAGGGAGAGGGACGCCCTGCGTCAGGACCGCCACAGGGAGCGGCATTGGGAGCGCAAGGCTGGCGGAGAAAAGAAGAAGGCTGCCCGAGAGCGAGAGAGGGACATTACGGAGCAGATTGCCCTGGGCAAGCCGTCGAGGGGCCCAGGCGGAGGGTCCGAGGCCCAATTTGATCAGCGTCTCTTTAACCAGTCCAAGGTGAACGTTCTTCCTTTCTTTCTTTCCTTCCATTTCTGCTCTGTTCTGCTGGTGTCTGTCTTCTGTGACCAATAGGAAATGATGATAATTACGTTCGTGAGCAATGCGTCAAACAAACAAACAGGTACAGTACAGTAATGGGTGGGTATTTTATGTGTTTCAGGGAATGGACTCTGGTTTCGGCGACGATGAAGCGTACAACGTGTATGACCAGGCCTGGCGATCGAGCGGCACCGTCGGACAGACCATTTACAGGCCGTCCAAGTCTGCCGTGCAGGAAGGGCTGGACTATGAGCGGTTGGCACAGGGCAACCGGTTTGTCAGTGAGAAGAACGCCACTTCCACGGGCCTCACTGGGCCAGTGCAATTCGAGAAGCACCAGCGTCCGGGGGGCAGTAGTAGTAGTAATAGAGCTGCTGCTGCTGCCGCCGACGAAGGCGATGATCCCTTTGGAGCCGGTCTCGAGGACTTCTTCAAGCAGGCCATTCAGAACAAGAGGTCGGACAAGGATGACAAGGGCGGCGGCGATCAGAAGCGGAGAAGACGCGAGTGAAGAGAGAGAGAGAGAGATGGTTGCGAAAGAAGAGGAATTACCTCATCGTTTTTTCTTCCCCCTCTTTTTTCTTTTTTTTTCTGTACACCATTTGTGGACTCTTGGAAATGTAACTGTCGTTCAATATTTGCAATGTCACGTGTCTTTGGAGGCGGAACTCACTTGGAAATAATCCTCTCGAGCGTTGATGAAATTTTAACAACCGACTCGTGCAAAATTCTTACAGGTTCATCCACATCTTTCCCACGCTGTCTGTTCGTCTGTGTTGGTGGGATCCATTTGTACATGTGGAAAACTCAGTCGACATTATAATCAACTGTGGATAGAAATGGTGAGCATCTTCGAAATTATTTCTGTACTCCTTTTTTGCGTAATTAGATGTGCAAATCAGCCAGTCACGCCCACGCGGTTCGATGAATTACATCCATATCGAGTCGTGCGGATGAGCCTGCAGAAGGTTCTAAAGTACTGTACTCTTCTCTTTATTTGGGCGGACAAGATCTTAGAAGAAGGCCTGAATCGGAATCATGATCAAGCTATTTTCACTGAAGCAACAGAAGAAGAATGGAGAAGGCGCAAGTTGCGGAGTGCAAAAGCAGACCTCGGCTGCGCAACTGAGAATCACCAAAGGTACAGTGCTTGTACTCAACAGTATACAGTACTACGATAGCGTATATTAATCCCTCGATTGCACCGAATGCAGATATCAATGAGCTGACGCTGCCGAAGACTTGCGGGGTGGAGTTTCCGAATCCGGACGATCTGCTCAACTTTAAACTTGTCATCTGCCCAGACGAGGTGAGTCCGATTGCAGATTCTGTAAAGTCTACCTGTCCTAGAGAGCGAAGTTCACGCATTGTATTCAATGAAGAACCATGGCATGCGCAAGACACTTGTAATTAACGGAGCCTGCTGATGTTAGTTCACGTCATTTTACCTTATACAGTACAGTACAGTATTGCAATTTACTAGCCTGTAATGATGAAACAGGCTAGTCTGAAGCATGATTCAGATCTAGGAAATAGGCTACGCGTTCTTGCCCAAGTTTCCTCATTATGTAAGTTTTGTCATTAATTCACCGTTTCCCGTTTGGCATTATGCAGGGTTTCTACAAGGGAGGCAGGTTCGTGTTCAGTTTCGAAGTGGGGCCCAACTACCCGCATGAGCCGCCGAAGGTCAAGTGCGATACCTCCGTGTTCCACCCGAACATCGACACGGATGGCAACGTATGCCTCAACATCCTGCGAGAGGATTGGAAGCCGGTTCTCACCGTCAACTCCATCGTGTACGGGCTGCAGTTCCTCTTCCTGGTGAGAATTTCCAAGTGGCTCTCGAATTTGAGGTTTACATGCAAATTGGCCATGCTCGCTCGCAGGAACCGAACCCCAGTGATCCCCTGAATAAGGAAGCTGCCGAGATGCTGCAGAACAACCGGAGGGCGTTCGAGCACACTGTGCAAAAGACCATGAAGGGCGCTTATGTGGGAAGCGCCTACTTCAACCGGTGTTTGAAGTAATCGTCGGTCCCACGAATTTCAACTGTGATGTTCGTGTTGTGGGGGGTAATTTTAATAATGAAGTACACATAATGCTTTCTGTTAGTTGTTTTCCGTTGGATTGGTACGATTATTTTAATCTTAGGAGGTGACTTATACAATGGCCTTCCCACGGCCGTCCCCTGTGTCGCAACCATTTTTACCTCGTCATACACCATCGCAATGCAGGTCACTCAACCCGTTGACCGAATTCAGGTTTCGTCTCACGAATACATATCCACACTGCAGAGCCAGACGTGGATATGTTTCGTCATACGCCTAACTTGGCTCGATGTGGGCTGGCGAAAGCACCAACAGCTAAAAATAGAGAAAAAAGGACGATTTCCCTATTAACCCTCTTTCCCATTCACAGAACACGGGAGATAAATGAAGACGAAGATATGCAAGCAATGTGCCCTTTATCCTGCTTTTCCCAGATCACGAGTGAACTTTGATCGCAATCCCCATGCACTCCCACGCCTTGGTAATTCATAGCAATCACAATGCTTCAAGTCAGTCGATCCGTGGATTAAATCAATCTCGCTCGAATATCCTCACGTCTCCGCGCGCCGCAAAAAAATAAACAGAAGTCATCAGCATAAGGCACGATTCGACGAAAATCAGCCAGTAAACACAAGTGATGTGCACACACATAAACATCGTAAATCATCCTCGTCTCCATTCTCACCATCATTAGGAAAAGAGAAGGGAATCTTCCCGAGCTAGCTAACTCACTCACTTCTCCCAGTACTAAATTCCAACCCCCCCCCCCCGTTTTCTTCCACGCACTTGAAACGTGCTCCCAATTTTTCCCACGCGTTTCCATTTTATTCTCTTTTCATCGTCTTCAGCTTCTTTTTCTTCTTGAATAAGAGGCCAGCAAGAAATGATCGGACGCATTCGCCCATTCACATCGGTTTTTGCGCTGCACTCCAGCTCCAATTGTCTACCACATCCAAAATAGGAAATTTAGCAAAAACAAAACGCTAACGAGGCGTTCTTCTCGAACTGTACAGCACCTTGGTCACGAATCTACTAAAACATGATCCAAAAATAAAAAGGAACAAAGAATATCTGCGGAAGGACATCAAGCAATAAGCTCGGTTGATGCGATGATTCAAGTTGGCGCAAGAGACGGATAACAACGACAGTTATTCAAGCTCGCAGCAGTATCAGAAGGGGAACCTCTACTCGGCGGACACACAACTTGGTTAGATGAATAAATAAAATAGAAATTATTGAAATCAATTCTTAAAAAAACAAAACCAAAAAAAAAAAACAGAACACTGGCTGGCAGCCATCGAGGAAGTATAATACGGTCCAGTAGAGCCACATCATCGCGTCCCGATTCCGGGGCGCTTCGCAACTCAGCTCTTCTTGGAAGAACGTCGCTTTGAGTCGTCCTCCGTGGTGGTGGGGGCGGCAGTGGCACCAGAGCCATGGTGGTGGTGGTGGTGGAGCACGACCTTGTCTCTAATCCTCCTCAACGTCTTTGACTTGAGCTTGGGCAACTTGTATTTCCGCTTGCCCTTGTCCCCCGCTGCCGGAGACGTGGAGGGGGAGGCCGAGGCGGCACCAGCAAGCAAGGAGGAAGAGGACGACGACGAAAAACGGCCAAGACCACCGCTGGGATGGTGCAGCGTGTCGTCGTCCACCACAATCATCAGCGCTCTCCGCAAGTTCCGGTCCGCCTCCATCTTCTCCACCAGCTCGTCCCTCCGCTTCACGACCTGCATGAGCCGATGGATGAGCTCCGCCTCCTCGGCCTTCTCCTCGGGCGACACGACGCACGTGGGCCTGGCCTGGATCACGCGGATGCGGTGGTCCAGCTCGGCGTGCTCCTCGTTGAGCGCGAAGTCCTCCAGGTCGAAGGCCACCTCCTTCCGGCGCCAAGTCAGGTCCTCGATCTCCTCGCCGATCGACGCCAGCTGCGTCAGCTTGTCCAGCACCAGGGCCGTGTCCCGCGAGTCCACCTCCTCCTCCACCTCTTCCTTTGCTTCCTTGGGGGTGGCGGTGTCGCCCGACGCCACTCCCGCGGCTCCTCCTTTCTCGTCGGCGTCCTTCTCGTCTCCTTCGCAGTGGCCTTCTGTGAGAAAGAAAGAAAAAGTGAGCCACCTTCCAGATTCTCAACCACACACTGGGCAGTAAAAATTTGTTTACCTAAACGATCTCATCAAGTATTGGTGGAAGGATGGTCGTGATTAAATGGGGAGAATGGACATTGAAATACAATGCTGCACTTCGTGCCTAATAGGAGACGATCAACTTTAAATACAGTACAGCAGTTCATATACAGTATTGTCCGAAATGTTTCTAGTTGTTTTTGTATCAAGTGTCCCATGATTGGTTCGAGTATCCTTGGTTTCCGTTTCGCAATCCACAGCACAGAATGCCTCATAAAAAGCCCAGTGCCAACTACCCGCTTTTGAAAAATGGACTACCATCAATTCCCCCTTGTTGCAGCGTTTTTTGTTTTCGTTTTGCAAGAGTTGGAATAGCTACTTTTGAAGAACTGTTAGTTTGAGCGTTATTGGACAACACTCTTCCAATAAGTGCTTTTTTTTAAACTACCGATTTTGTCCGCCTTAGAGCAAGAATTGAGTAGATAGCCTCTTCTTGTAGCTGCTTGCTGAAATTTACTAAGACTGGATGTTTTTATTCATTGCGGTTTTTCAATGCAGGGAATGGATTTTTAGAGAAATTAACACGCTTTCTTTTGGCAGCTTCAGAAATTGTTATTCACAAATCTATTGACTTGAATCCAACAATGTATAGGCCAAGGCATTTGAATGCACGCGGCAAACTGATTATTTGTGTTTTACCTTTGATCGGATTTCCTTGTACGCTGCGACCTTCGCTACAGTTGAATTTTGTCCTTGGCATTCGTCAATACAATCAGTCTCTCAGAAAATACTGTACCATCAAAGCACGTTATCCTTCGTTTTTCCTCTTGATAATACTGTATCATAGACATTCTTAATGTCTGCAAACATAATTTTTTGCATAAATCATTCACAAGCTGAGTTAATTCCATCGGCAGATTTCTTCTTCTTCAGACTTTTTGCGGGTATTCCTTGACTTCTAAACTTGAAACCACCCAGAAATAATCATCGTTAATTTAATGGCTGGAGTGCTTGTGCGACCATCATGGTTGTTCGAAGAAGTAAGAAAAACTCGGACAACTTTTATTATTGATTCGGGAAAGGTCAACTCACGATCAATCTTGCTGTCATCTACAACGACGACGCCACCGCCATCGTGATCACGCGATTCTTCTCCAGCTGGAGCATCGTTGTCCTGCAGGTCAGCATCGTCGATGCCAAAAAAGGACAGCTGGCCCTTGATGGCGTCCCGTTGACGACTCAACTGTTCCAGCTTCACGTCGACGTCTTGCAGCTCCTTGCTCAGCTTGTCCTTGAAGCCGTCGGGGAAGACGCGCTTTGGCGGGATCGGGGCATTGGGCGCCGGCTTCTTCTTCTGCAGCGGCGTCCCGGACCCGATAGAGTCCAAAGACCCGTTCGAGATGCGGCTCGTGGGGCGTTCTTCCTCCACTGCCTTTGGCGGCGTCGGTGGCGGCGGTGCCGGGGCTTTCTTCTTGTATCGCCGCGGGGACGACTTGGGCACCGGTGGCGGCCTCGTCTCAACAGCTACGACTTGTGCTTTCCCTTTGTCGCGGCAGTCGTCGTCGTCATCGTCATCACCGAAGGGGTTCAGGGCTTTGTCGTACGACTCGATCCGGGGCACTGGCATTTTCGGCTGTGGCGGCCGAGGCGGAGGATCAAAAGGCGACGGCGCCTCCTTTTCACACACCTTTGCGTGGACATTGTCATCCTCGGACGTCACTTCAACGGTAACATCAACAGGGACTGATACGGACGGAACGACGACGTCTTCACGCGCTTGACCCACGTCGCCTTTCTCCCCCTTTTTCTCTGGTTCATCATTTTCGTTAACGTTCTTCTCAATTTCGACGACATTATCATTATCAATCGGGTCGTCATCGTCCACATGAGAAACAATCACTGGAGGTACAGACACACTTGGCACACTCCCGCGCATGCTTCTCGATGGCGAAGGTTCCGCGGCTTTCGTTTCCTCTTCCGTCTCCTCATCGTCGAACGGATTCAAATCATCGGGATATTCCACAGACATACTTTTCGGACGAATGCGAATTTATTCACAACGACAACGGCCTCATGGAATTAATCGCACCGAATGGCACTTGCAACCTGGTCACGGCACACCAGCACAGCGACAGAACATGTTGCTGATTTTCCTACGAGATAATGGTCATGTTACACGAGAGCGATCAGACGGAACAATGGCTTTCATTCAATGCGCCAAGGGGAACCGCTGAGACACAGGGAAACGCGGTCGAAACGAAAGCGCTCACTGAATTCAAACAGAGAAAGGTTGGGGTAATTCGATTTCCTTCACCATGCGTGGCTTAGTTCCTTAACGGAGCATCGAGCACTCCCGCTTTTCCTTTTCCACTGGAAGGCGCGAATGGGCGGATTTCATGCTAGCGCCGTATTACGTTATATTAAATGCCGAGCAGAGATTATCCAGATTATCCAATGATTAAATCGGGAGCTATCCCAGTTCGGGGGAGCAAAGCGCAAAACTACGCCCATATAGATGTCGCTAAGAAGGGCACACGGAATGTTACTGGCAGCATCTATGTGTGGGTGTCAGAAATGAATCCCTGTAAATGGGAAAAATAAGGATTTGCCCCTACTGCATAAGGATTTTGACTCACGTCTCCAACACACCTCATCTATTAATCTTCTCACAGCACCACAATATCAGGTTAATACAAGTCGAACAGTAAGAAGAAGGAAACGTTCTCAAGTGAACGGTAGAAGTCAGAATGTTGCCCCATTATTGTCTCCCAGACCTCCTCATCATCCTCGCCCCGTTCAGATAATGGGATCGCACGGGCATGGGGTGATTGGGGAGAACGCTTGCCAATAGATGTCGCTCTATCAGGTAAGAGTGCGCCCACTGAATTATTCAACAGCCCTGTTGTGTTGATGTCCGGGTACCCTATCCTCAGCCTTGCCATTGGTCCGTTTTATCATGGACACAAATTCATTGCTGACTATTTAAATTGAAATGTGCATTGACACTTGCACTGTTATTTATTGGGATTCTGCTGAAACTGACTTTGGGGGGCAGTTAGGTAAAGTTAGGTTAGGTCAGGTTATGTTAGTTAAAAATATTTCAACTATAGATTTATTTAATAACTGTTACAAATATTTGAATTAACATAACCTGACCTAACCTAACGTCACCTGACTGCCCTCCAAAGTCAGTTTTTTCCAGAAAACTTAGGTCAGGTTATATTACTTAAAATATTTTCAATGAACACATTTTAAATAATGTACTGTTGAAATATTTTTAACTAACATAACTTGACCTAATCTAACTTTTCCTAACCACCCTCCAAAACTCAGTTTTAGCAAAATTCCAATAAATAAAACAGAGTGTCAATTCACATTTCAATTCAAATGCTTTGTTGGTTGTGTACCAGGATAGAGAATAAGTCAAACCAGTGGCAAGGCTGAGGATAGTGTACATCACTGGCAGCACAACTGGGCTGTTGTGTAATTGGAGTGTATACCAGGACTTATTTTTTTAGAACAACACATGGAATGTCACCAGTAATGCAAGTGCAAAACTATACCACTGTTGTTTGAAGATAGTATAGTCTATGCTCTATATAGCTCCCCCAATTGTGGGGTAGCTCTGGAATCCCAAATGAATGCCTTTCTCTTCTAAGAGATTTCACCTTGACATTATAGTCAGTTGTATACTTAATCGGACCAAGCAACCAACATGACACGAACTACAGTACAATATTTGGAGGTCTCCGAATCCACGGAGTGAAGTTCCGCGGTGGTTCATTCCACTGAATTCAGGGGGAAGTGAATTCTGTAATGATTCTAAGCAACAATTACTCGGGCGGAAAAAATTGTTTCATTCCACAGAAATGCATTTTCATAGGAGGTATATTGTAGTTTACACACAATGCTGACACAAATATGTGTGCATGGTTCATTATGAGGAATTGAAGCATATTTGTACGTAAAAGATTGTTCCTGTTATATTTGCTAATTACATTCATTCCAGCAAGATTGTGAGGGTAATTATGTCTACGCAGGAATCTTCATAATGTGCGAGTTTTAAATCTTTATTTAAAAAACAGAAAATTTATTTTGAGGCAAGCTATTTTCGAAGGGCCAGGAATAAAGTATTGGCAGTAGCAGTCAATACTCAAGAGATACACAAAGGGGTTAATTTTCAAAGGGTAGGAGTTGTTTCTTCCTGGATGGATACTTGCGTATGTGCTTATATCCCACAACTTTCCATTTCCAGCAAATTTTTTCTGCGCATACCGCGCTTTATCCGAGTACTGTATGGCTTTCGATTGAAGATGGACACATGGTTTCCTGGCCATATACGCACCGAACTCGTGGTAACTTCGCGGCCCTCTCATTAACCCACCCCCACAAATACGCTATACATTTCCGAATTGGCATCACTTTCCAAACTTGCCCATTGTGCGAATTGAAAAAGGAAACGACCGCAATTGTTTATCTTCTAATAGAGCATAGGCTCAATATCAAAGGATTTATTTCCAGTTATGGAAGATGACCAAAAACTGTACATTGCAGAGATCTTAATTATTCGTCACTATCAAGGATGCTCGAAAGTGAAGGTTGATCTGAGTGATGAAATGTTAGAAGGAATCGTAGGTACATAAATACGAGTTAAAGCCCACACTTAGAGCTATCTTGGAAAAGTTGCAGTAAAAAAAGAACAATTCAACACGCCCTTTTTCCGCAAAGCACCACAAGCAACGCATTTCTTTCGATTTATTTCTCGAAAAAAAAAGAAAAAAACAAAAAAATCCACACACTTCCTCTCAGGAATTCCCCTGCACACAAAAAAATTTGCGGAACGTGGTTGGTCATGTCAACTTGACACTTGCATGCCCCCACCGTCGTCATACTTGTCAGTAAGCGCATAATACGTACGATGCAGAGGCTCTCTCTCCTCCCGTCAAGTACTTTATTGAAATCACTTCAATATAGTCGTCCGGGCGAAAAAACAAACAAACAAGAAAGGCAGCCGATTGATTTCCGCGATTCCAAGACGGGAGATAAAAAAAAAAAACCCGATCGAAATGATATCTATAGTCAATTTCGCCACGATACGTCCAGTTGTGCCTCGACTTGAACGTATACTCTTTGCCTCGTTCAACATTGAAAATAAGATATTATTTTGGTCATCCACAAACGGATTTCGGAATCCAAGCAAGAATCTATCTCCCAAATTTTTTTTCTCTCCTTCATCCCAATCGGGGGAATTTCAACCCACCAATGGACACAAATCACAAGAAAACACACAAAAAGCTCTTGTGGGGGACGACGACGTAAAAATGAGCCCACCTCCCACTTCCCGAATGATAAAAAAGACGCTATCCGTCGCGTCAATAAATGCCAGACGGAAGAACAACCCTGGTGGCATCCGGGGTCACAGCATGCAGCATCGGGTCCTGACCATTCCTCACAACGGTGCTCGAGATCCTAGGGTTTTGCTTGAACCGGTCACCGGGACGCAACCATCGCAGGTCCTTGGAGGGATCCTAAACGAGAAGAAGCTCAATCAATTCAAACGAAACCTAATAAAATTGGACCGAATCTGATGAGATAATACAAAGGCGGTTGGAAGGTACATAGTTCAAGCGTATATCTTCCATCAGAATTGAACTGCAAGTTCGAACAGATCCTTAGCTTTGAACAGCCCTCACCAGCGGCCGGAACCCGACTGATTCGCTACGATTCGCACACCCTGGACAGAGCACCGCACACGCGTGCGGTACAGGCTTACCGAGAGTTATCCTTCAACCTGTCCGTCGGAGGAAATCAGTCGGCGTTACTACTGTACGAGGACGGCACTCGGTCTTTCCGCGGAGGACCATACGGCAAATTATAGCACAGGACCATAAAAAAAACCTGATCAATACTGATAGGTACAGTATTGTACTGTAATTGTGTATAGCCCGTTTCACCCCGTAACTACAGTAACATCGATTTGCTTTTAACGGCTAAACCTTTGGACTCTCAAAAGTCAAAAGCGCAAAAAAATTCAGAACGAAGAATTGCCCTGAAGTACCTTGTACCGAGCCGTGTTCAAACTCAACATCGCGTCAAAAAGTTTCCATGTACGAAACTGTCACTTGTATACTGTACTCGCTCTCCATAATAACGAGAAGAATGAGACTAGCTAGCCGCTCTAGCGTTGTTCTGCCTCTTCCGCGAGTAAAACGTGAATTAAGCCCGTCACACAAGGAAGGTATTCCCCGAGACCGACCCCTAACCTCGTTGCACAGTCGCTCGCGCTAACCAGACGCGTTCGCCGCATCGAATAGCTCGCGACAAGATGGCCGCTATCGGGTCCGCGGCGCGGCTTGTTCAAAAATCTCCTCTCTCGCCCACTACCGTAGCATAGCATTAAATCAATTCCATTCGGATGAATCATGCAGACAGATTTTCGCAAGCCTTTCCTCATTTCTTGAATTACCAGTGCCTCAAGAAACTACCCGAAACTTTTTCAAGGGCCAAGGAAAAAAGAAACACACACACAACACTCGTTGCCTGGCGAAGGATTCTCAAGATATCAGATCAACAATGCCAAGGATGAGTGACACGTCTGAGGTGGAGGAAAATTGAAAAAATAAAACTGGGGAAGGGGTTGATGGTGCAAAATGGATCCGTTGTACCGTATATGAATCTGATTCATTCGCACTTCCAGGACTAATAATTAATGATCTCAATAATAATTCTTGAGATGAACTTGCAGATGACACCAGTCATGCATGAGTCAGAAAAAGCGATTATCGATAAACGAAAGGAAGGAATCGTGTCCATCACAAGGAGAGTATTCGTGCCGCCTAGAAAGTGGCAAATTTTCAATAATCAATAATCATCAATTTCAATAATCATCATGGCAAAGCGGATTTCGCACTTGAGATGCCGCTACACGCATGCATAGCCTGGATCCGAGATGAGTAGTGAACAATATGGGCCATATATGGGGTAGTTCGGACAGGGGTAAGGACCACCCCCTCCCCCTGGTGCACGACGACGACTTTCAGGCCGTCTTGAACGGAATACGAAGAGTCGTTGATAAGGATACAATACTGTACTGACAGTTCAGCAGTCGGAAAAGGGGTTGCGTTTTTTTGTTCTAGACTAGGTGAAGACATTTTGCCTCTCTCTCCCTCTCTTACCAAAATGTAGCTGGAGCCAATTTGGGTCCATGGCACGGCTGCACTTCCGGGTCCCCCCGCTCCACTGGCAGTCTTCATCTTGGCACCGGGGTTCTTGGAATTCAGGGCCAGACTCTGCACCAGCAGCTGCCGTCCAATGTCACGCATGTTGTTGAGTTGCGGCTGCGGCACGGACGCAATCGGCTTCAGCATCGGTAATGGTTTCTTCGTCTTGACAGTAACCGCCGCCGCTGGCTCCGTCGTCCTGGCCTTCCGCTCCTTCTCCAACTCCGCGTCCACACCACCTCCAAAACCGCGCTTCTCCACCACCGCAACAACAGATGACTCCATGGCGTCCGTGTCTAAATCGGCAAACGTGATGGCAGCCCGGGCCTTGGGCGTGACGGTAGCCGCCGCACAGGGCTTCCGACTGTTGGTCTCCTTGATGGGGGTCTTCCTCGGCGAAGCCACGGACCGAGACGACGCACCTGGCAACTTGGTAGACCCACCTCCAGTTGCTGCTCCTGCTGCAGTCGCCGCCGACGTCGCAGAGGCCACAGACAAGGACGTCACAGACACCCGTTCGTCCGGAATGAAGTCGCTGAGGTAGGCGGGCGGCTTCCGGTTCCGTCGCTTCCTGCACTTGCGCTTCGGCCTGGGCTTGCTGCTGCTACTACTGCTACTACTACTATTACTGCTCTGACTGCTACTCGACGCCAACTGACCAGCAGCAGCCCCGCTCCCACCGCGTTTCGGCTGCTCGTCTCCGTGGAGCAGCGTGAACCGGGCGTTGCGAGTGTGGCGCACTCTGGCCGGCAGGTCCAGGACACTCGGCTGGCGGCTGTCTTTGGCGTTCCTGCCCGCTTCGTCCGCCCCGTTGCGGCTATAGTTGAGCGACTCGCACACGCAGCCCAGGCGACACAGCAGTCGTCCCTCACAGCCTCCATTGTTGTTGTTGATGATTCTCCTGCTGCTCTTCCTCTTTTTGGCGTGCTCTTCCATTTCCTCGTCGATGCAGTAGTGCGGCGTCACACTGGGAACGTCTGGGTCGTACGGCAGTCGCTCCAGACTCTGCACTTCTGTCTGCGACGGCGTCTCTGGGGCGTACTGCTTCTGCGAAGTGTTCTTTCGGATCAGCACCAGTGTCCGAAGATCGAACTTCACGCGCTCGTTGAGGGCAAACTCGATCTGGGCCTTGTCCTTGGCCAGGGCCTTGAACACGGCGCAGGCTGCGTACGACTGTGACATCTCGTACGCCGTCTTCGCCCTGCCCCTGTCCTCATTGCCGTTCTTCTTCTCGGAGCGTCGGTAGAGCAATCCCAGGTTGGCAGCCGTCAGGATACATTTCGACAAGTCTTGCTTCACCGGCTGCAAGATGAGGGAACAAAACTTTTTTTTAATAATAAAAAAACAAAATAAAACGATCTGAATGCTTCATCGGGGTTGTGAAAAATATTGAAATATTCATTCATTCAATGCCGCCAGACTGGGTCGTTTTCGTAACAACTCCTTGAATCGTTTAATCCACGTCAATTTCAAAGGTTTTCCTAGCGCATTCGAAAGGTCAAAAAGATACGCTTCTCCAAGGTAGCCGACAGACCTATACTTCCTGAAACACTAACAGCACACAATTGTCTGTCCCTACAATTTTCAGACGAAATCGATTGGAGCGTTATTAATTTCAAGACGAGGATCATTAGAATCAAGAGCCTCAGTTCAAGAGACCCAGAAGGGGAAACCATTTCGGGAACGTCACTGGTGCAAAGACCATTGAGGTAAAAATAGGGGGGGGGGGGGGAACAAATTCACGAAAATGATAGGGTACAAACCACGTTTATCTTTGGCTTCTGAAAGGTTAAGGAACTGCTACCAGGACCGACGAACTGCGAAACCCCGCGTGATCGGTCCTCTGATCCGCATTCCGTTTTCACAGGGTTGTAGACCAATACTGGTCGAGCTTTCAAACAGGGTCCCTTGCGACGCCGTCGCTCCTTGCCGACGTGTTCTTCTTGGACAGCTTCTCCGCAAACAACCTCCTGCTTCACCACTGGAAATCGCGAGTATAATCGCTCTAATTCCTCAGCATCACGTTTCAAGCGCTTTGCCTTAGGCACGTCAACATTCTGACTCTTCGCGGCAATACTTCGCGACATTTCCGAGCGATCCGTCGCTGTACTGGCACCTTACTTCCCCCCCGCTAACGGTTCCCTGCAAGTTAAGCAAAAATTGAATCAAACTGCCATCAAGCTCTTCAATTTTCGAAGGAAAAAAGCTGTACTGCACTGCGCGTATCAAATTTATTAAAATATTACGATCTCACAATCTGTCCGTACCACTTTCTAGCCAGTTTCAAATACAGTTGACAATAAATAATTGATAAATTCCTTAGACTGCACATAAATAGCTATTACAATTCCAGCTAATCAAGGTAAATCACACAAACCCCAACTCCTCTCAGATCTTTGGCATACTGCAAAAAAATTAAAATCACACTAACATTCCGAGAAATTTCTCACATGAAAATGTATCGCCTTGCAGAAAATACTTCAGGTACTTGAACACCAGCTAAATGCTAAAAAAAGCGTATTACTCAAGAGCTTAGCGAAATCAAAACAACCTGAATCACTTCAGGAAAACGTGACTGCGATGGCCTACGAAATACGACACTGTGAAGCCAGAAGAGCGCCACAAGTCCGTCCTAGATAATTCGCATGCTCTATCATTACAGCACAATTAATTTAATTTTTCTCAATGGGCGTTTCTAGATGCAGATTTCCTAGACAAGCTCTACGAAGCGTGACGTTCATCACAGGACGACCAGGGTTACAACAGACCATGCACGTATAAATTCGATGAGTGCAGAGCCTCTATATTGGCATACACTGGCTGGAACGGAGGAGTGACACGATCACCGCGTCCGAAAAATTGACACATTGGTAAATGGAAAATTCGAATCGTCGTGCTGGAGGGAACATGCCGATACTGAACACGGAATAAACTCCACATTTCATCTGGGCCGCCGAAGAGAAGGCCCACGTCCCATACGAACACCCAACGCTCACACAAGCAAGCGGGCTAGCAAGCTTACTCCCCCATCTTCCCCATTCCCCACTTGTGGGGATTGGGGACCGACGGACAGGCAAAGCAGCTGTTCTGCCGCGAGCCAGCCAGCGAAAAATGCGTACCCCCTCTGGTGGATCTCCTTTGCGAGCAGCAAGAGTTCCATCACCAACCAGCAGCGTTCAGGAAGAGTCGTCGGGATAACTGCAGCTCCCCGTCAGCATGCATCATCATTATATAGATGTGCTCTCATCGTGGATCGTTCTTCATTGAATCGCTTCGTTCAATTTTTTCAGGATTTCATTCAGATATCGCACTCACCTACTCTGCCTGCATTGTACGAAACGACATTTGCTATTATTTGGGTAATGCTCTGATATATGATGGGGCAATGATATGAGCACGTGTGCGCTCATTCTTATAGGATACAAGCAGTATCATAAATCTTTTGATTCTTTAGTGTTAACTGATGCGTTGAAAGTGATTCCCAGCATTTGCAAATTCAAGGGGGCAACCAAATAGCTACGTCGTGAGGAGGATATTATACTCGTATAGGTGCAAATTAAGCAAAGTCCGAGCTTAAATCGAGGGATCATTCCGCTTGAATACAAGTTTTGTGTGTGTGTGTGTGTTGTCTTCATGTAGCTTTAGTCTGTACTAAGCTCGCCCGATTTCATCACCGCAGGCTGCTTGGAATAAGTATAAATTACCCGCCAAGTTAAGTCTCAAGCTGCGCTTCGGCGCGTCGAAGCGAACTTTAGGGCGACATACGAATTAATTGAGCGGAGTTTTCCGAAGAAGTTTGAAGAGAAATTATGGAAGAAAACCCAAGCTACTAGAAATTCGAGCTGCATCCGACGTGTAGCACGAGCTTCAGCAAGCGCCCTGTAATATCCCTTGCATGCTGATCGCTGCACTCCACTATTCCGGGATGTGCTTGTGCTTCCAATATGCTCTGTGTTATCACATAGTGTGAGACACAGGGATCTCAGGCATTGCGGGTTCCGCCTCTGGAAAAGCCCGCTCTCCCACTTGTAAATGGAGATCGGCCTTAGCGGCGAAATGTGGAAGTCGAGGCCAAGTTCGGCAAATTTACTTGTCGAGCTGTGATGACATAATCCGTACAGTCATGTGAAATAGAAGGTGTCTGATTTTTCGAAGAAATTGCTTGAAGATTTTTCGTCCGTGGTAGAGCTTGACTCCTTTTCATCGAAGATCAAGGCGCGTTGTTGTTCGGTCTGGAAAGGTTATCCTTCGTATCTGTCAACTGTAGAAGAATGAGTTCAAACTTTTCGCGGTGAGAAAAAGTGGCGGTGTATCCTTGCATTGCCGAGGGTGAGGCTTTCTCGCAAAGAGTCTGTTTGGAAGAAGGGTCGACAAAATTTTGACGAACGTGATATTTTGGGTAATGCCTGTGTTGCAGGATTAAACTGTGTTATTTTATTCGCTACGGCGTCCGTTTCAATCCCTGAAACTCCAAAAAATGGCCGATCCGCAGTCTTCTGCCATGGAAGTAGATCAAGAAGTCGACGTTTCATCCTCATCTGCCTTGAAAGCTGACAAGAAACGGTTTGAAGTGAAAAAAGTACGATTTTGATTCATTGAAGACGTTGGTTGAAAATTAATCCAATTTAACTCTCTATTCTAGTGGAACGCCGTGGCACTGTGGGCTTGGGGTTAGTAAGCCGCATCTCCGGAACAGGCCGAAGAAGTGAATGAGTATTTTTCTCTTTTTAAGATATCGTTGTGGACAACTGCGCAATTTGCCGAAATCACATTATGGACTTGTGCATCGAGTGTCAAGCCAATCAAGCATCTGCAACTAGCGACGAATGCACTGTCGCGTGGGGCGTTTGCAACGTGAGTTTCACGCATTTGGAGGTTCTTGATTATGTGAGGGATCTGGGATTTATTTACAGCACGCGTTCCACTTCCACTGCATTTCTCGTTGGCTTAAAACCCGTCAAGTGTGCCCTCTGGATAATCGTGATTGGGAGTTTCAGAAGTAAGTTTAAGTAAAGTTGACGAAGAGTTCTCCATTTTCACTATTTTCTATGTTTTTTTCCCCATGCAGATATGGACATTGAAGCGGCTTTTTATGTCTTAGATGATTCTGTTTCGGAAAGCTCCCGAGCGTGTAAATAAAAATACTGGCGTTTTCGTCATTCTATTTTTTCATGTGTTCATTCCATCCTCCGATTACGAAGAAGTGAATTGTATTCCGGTGATCCGTAGATTTGTATGTTATGATTTTGACGCAGTGATTCGATTTGTGACGCGATGGACGCGAGTGCATATTACCAGTACAGCCAAATGTGAGTTGCGTCTCTCGTGGCGATGGTGTGATGGTTTATTCTGTGATTTTGCCTCGCAGTGGGAAGCAAGTGACACCGGAGGTGAATGTTCGCCCGTGTCCGCCTCCTCCGCCGCCGCCGGGGACCGAGGCTCATGGCCTTTACCAACAACACGCTCCGCTAGGAACCGTTTCCTATCCTGGTAAATTCCCCCATGTCCATACGTTTCGCCGATTTTTACTTAATTATCCCATTACCATTCTCGTGTCTATTGTCTTCCGTGTGTGTGTTCTCAGGTGTGAGTCTGAGCAGCGACTATGGCTATGGGTCATCCGCGGACACGCCGACAGGGTTCCATCCGCCAGCATTCTTTTCGCATTACCCTAGCGCTTATCAGACGCCTGAACTATGTGAGTGTTGGCCATTTCCCAGGGTGTCTGTCTTGTCAACAATGTCCAGGGTGGTAACGCTTGATTCAATCGCCGTACGCTTGAAGCTGCCGGAGAAGGTGCCGTGGCGGGAAACCCGTGGAACAAGGCTGCAAGAGGCGGGCCCAGGAACCACACGAACAGGAAAGTACACGGAGGGATGGCCAGCGGGATTCTCAAGGGATTCGTGCCTGCTTCCAACGGCGACTCGTCGACGGCTTCGTCGGGTGGGTCACGGGAATTTTCAGGTCATCGTGGCCCTCACAAGCACGGACTCGGATATGGGGGTCCTCGTCAAGAGCAGATTCTCTACTGCGAAATTTGCAAGATCAGTTGCGCAGGGCAGCAAGTATGAAGGAATTAGCGTTGATGAGATTTCTGAGAAAGATGCACTGTTGCATTGGAAGATGGCGGATTATTTGACTCCATTGTATTTCCCACAGACTTATAATGAGCATTTGGAAGGGCAAAAGCACAAGAAGAAGGAATTGGCGTCGAAAGCAGGAGCTGCCAGCAGTGTCCCGAAAGGTGGCACTGCGTTGCATTGCGAACTCTGTGACGTTGCTTGCACTGGCTCTGATGCCTATGCAGCTCACATCAGAGGCTCGAAGCATCAAAGGGTAATACGGTACTCTGTTGGTTTTTCTGACGATTCTAATCCGTCTTGTCCTTTGAATTCCTCGTACGAATATGAGATGTTTTCGGTTCTAAAACTCCCCGTAAACTGAAGCTCGGCAGATGGAAAAAATTTTGGTTGTGAATTTCGTGACCTACCGTAATTAATTTCCCTCGGTCTTTTTTAAAATTTTTTTTATCGTCGATAGGTGGTGAAATTGCATCAGAAACTGGGCAAACCAATCCCTTCCACTGAGCCCGTGGTCATCTCCAACGCTCCCACAGCGAACGGAACGTCGGCGAAGAAGGGCAAAAAACCAGCGGGATTTGTCGGTGAGTGGTGTCTTGGCGTTCGTTCAAAAAGTTGTTGAAGTACCCAGGGTGTGTTTTTCGTCGTTGACTGGATTTGTAGGTAATGAAAAGACGCAGTCTGCGCCGATGATTGGTCCCGTCGCTCCTCCGCATCTTGCTGGCAAAGTTGTAACTGTGCCTGTCGGGGGCGAGGACTCTTCTGGAGGTTCCGAAACAATAATCATACCCAAGTTGCCCGACGAGAAGGATGTGCAGCCTGTCGGGGCGAGTTATATAGAAGAGATCAAAGAAGGAGGCGAGTTGATTGTTGGCGAGATGTTAATTGTTGCTCGACAAGCCGCTGACGATCTCGTCTCCGCTTTACAGAGAAGGTGGTGTCGTTCAACTGCAAGTTGTGTGACTGCAAGTTCAGTGATCCGAACGCCAAGGAAATGCACTTGAAGGGTAGGCGACACCGATTGCAGTACAAGAAGAAAGTGGATCCGTCGTTGGAGGTACTGGACAAGGGCAACCCGAGGCACAGTAGGACGCAGCAGATGCGACCCCTAATGCCGCCGATGCGTCGCCCGCCTCTTCTCGGCTCGTGTCCTTCAGACCTACCATTTCCCATGAACACGAGGTACGATAGGATGCATTGACTCTTCAGTGTTCATCTCGTCTTTCTTCTTATTCATCCACTTTTTTTGTCTTTTCTGCGAGCAGAATGATGGACGAAGGTGAATGGAGGATGTGGGATGATCCCGGTTGGGGATACGGCACGAGATTTGGGCGTCCGGGCCCTGGGGGAATGCCGCCTCCTTCGCTCATGAGCATGCCCGCTAATTACATGATGGGGAATCCGAATCAGGTTCGTCTACCAGTGACGCTGATTGAAAAAAATAAAATAAAGAGCGTCGATTTTTCATCTATCTTGTTCTTAAAAATTTTGTGTGTGAATAAATTCATTGATTTATTGATTCACTTTTTCCCTTGTCTGTTTCGTAGCAATTTTCCCCCATGCCGTACCAGCAGTATCAACAATCTGGGCCACAAGAAACTATCATGGATCGGTATGTCTCTGCCAGGCACAGACAGATTTATCCGGCCGAATCGGAGCTTGGTAACGTTCAAAAAATGGTCGCTATGGTTGAAAAAGGCCTGAAAGGTGCCTCTGACGCACTAGAAGGATTGGATTCAGCTGCCGGTAGTGTGAGGTATTCTTTTCGAACCTACTATTTATATCCTAATTTTTTTCAACCGTTTTTGTAGATTGTACTGATGAAGGAATGCATTTGTTGGCAGGAAAGATCCGAAAGTGGAGGATAAGCGGATGGTGAAAGGGGTGATGCCAGTGGGTGCTCTGGCCAAGGGTCTAGTGATCCGAGGGGAGCAGCTAGTTCAACTGGTGGTGCTTTGTATGCAGAAGCCCACCCAGTCATTGCTGAAGCAAGTGGTAGAGTTGCTGCCGGCACAGATTCCGAATGGGAGCGACATCTACTCATACAAAGTTGTCCCTGAGGACGCATCCATATTCATTAACAGTGTCAAGGAGCCGCACGTGTCTGTTCAAGTCATATTCACATCCTTGTTGGTGCGAGCTGAGAACGTGCCCGAAGAACAAAAGAAAGGTGAGGAATTCTCGCATCAATTCTCTTGTCGATTGAAATGCATGCTGTGATTTATTTTTCCAAGTCGAAGATCCGCTCGACTTGCTGAGTCAAGACAAGTGTCTGGAGGGACTTGCTTTCCTAAGGCATTCGAAGTGGTACCAGGTATAGTAATTTTTTGACGAGATTGAGTGATATCATCTGAATTACCCCCTCTTCAACAGGCCAAAGCGCATGGTTTGCAGTCGTGCACAATGGTCATCAGGATAATGAGAGACTTTTGTCGACGCGAGTCCAGCTGGCACTGCATGCGTCCCTGGCACTTGGAGTTGCTCGTTCACAAAGTCGTAGAAAGCGCGAAAACGCCACTGAGTCCTGGCGACGCTTTCAAGTGAGTGCTGTTCTCGAGAAATCTCAGTTTTCCGGGTACAGTATTTCTTTCACAATCTTGTCTTTTCAAAAAGGAGAGTTTTTGAAGCTGTGTCTGCGGGGATCCTGCTACCGGGAAATCGCCTGACGGATCCGTGTGAGAAGAACTCAGTGGATGCTGGCGCGTATCTTAGTGACCAGCAGAGGCATGATCTCACCTTTACTGCTCAGGTGTGTAGAGTCTGTAGACTTCGGCATACATAACAGTATTTCGATCAACACAACTTTTGCTCTTCCATTTGTTTTTCAATTGACTGATGGACGCTTTTATTACTATTTTTGTATCACTCCAGACTTGTCTGAGGCAGATAACTTTTCGGATGGCACATCAGGTCCTGGGCATGAACGACAAAGACGCTTCTTCGCGGCGCCCGACTGACACTCAGTTGGGAAAGAGGAGACTCGATGCCAGTGCTGCAGCAGGTCTGTCAAAGGCCCCTTTTTTACTTGTTTCTTTTGAATTTTGAACTCAAAACTAGTAGGGTGCAACTGGAGCCTTATGAAACGTGAAAAGAAGGCCATTTCCACTTGTGAAATGAGAAAACAAAAATACAGTAATAATGTGATTGACGGGTTAAGAGACGACGCGAGGAGCCCAGTTAAAGTGAAGGAACGTAATTTCTGAAGCTCGCGTATTTTCAAAAATCAATGCATCGTATTTTCTTTCTTTCTTTAGCGGAAGATTCGAGCGAGAAAATTGGCGCGGATGACAAGAAGACGAAGGTGGATCCGGTGGATTGAGATCATTTTGAAGAGACTATGAATTTTAGGACAGATATGCTTTTTCGTTTTGTTGCACCGTGAAGACAGATTTGACCTGTTTCCATATTGTTTATTCGGAGAGGGCAACTCGTGCGAGAGACTTGCTTCGATGGTGAAGAACTTCCTGGAGTGTTAGAGCAACGTTGGGAAGAGTCTTGCTTTTTTTTTTTTCTTTCTCCTCTTTCCTTCCGTTGTTTATCTGTTCAAGTTTACACGAAACTTTGGTGTGTTGAAATTTTTTGTTTTCTTTTGGTGACAAAAAGTTTCTTCGGTATTCGCTGTTGAGAGATTTTTTTCCGTTGCAGTGCCTACTGCTTAAACTTGGTGGAGAAATGAACTTGAGTTCAATTTTTTTTTTCATCTCTTGAATTTTTTCTGGCATGCTTTTCGAGATGAGATAGAAAGGGAGGGAACGAGACTCGCCTTCCAAAAAAAAAAGGAATGTATTTTCCTGCATTTCCGCAGCAAACTTGGCGCAGAAGTTTGGCCCGGTGGAAGAACACGAATAAATAGTCGATCGGTAAATAAAGGAAGCGGTCATTTGGTGGGAGGAGAGGTTTTGCTGGCTTTTCGGAAGCTCTCCGTTGCCGTGTTGGCGTTTCGGAAGGAAGAAGTGCGTCCCTGAGAGCCGAGCAAGGAGCCCAGGAGTCCTCCTTGGCCCCCGGCCGCGTTGCCGCCACCGCCGAGGAGTCCGAGCAGGGCATTGTTGCCGCCTCCTCCACCGCCGCCGCCGCCGAGAGTTGAGAGCAACTCGGTCATCAAGTTACCTGGGCCGCCTCCCAGTGCGTTTCCGAACGCACCTTGGCCACTGGTCTGCGTCTTGCCGTTGTCCGCTGACGCCGACTCCAATCCGATGCCCGGCCCGTGCCCTGCGGAAACGTGAGTGAGTCCAACAGTTTTAATCCCGCGGCAACCGATGGTGACACAACGAAAGTAAAGTAAATGAGGAAGGAAGGTGGTAAACTTCAATTCAGTGGAGGGGATCCACTGTGATCCAGGTCTTCCTTTTTCTCAATTGTTTCCTTCTGTAGCTAAGCCACAGTCCATGGAAAATGTATCAGACACCAATGACGAATTTAAGAGCAAACGAAATGAAAAAAAGGGCAATCCATGTGGCCGTTTTTGGTCACGTTTTACGAACCAACCCTCGTATTCCTGGGCGAAATGATGAAACTATACAGTACAGTGCGTGGGGTGCGGTCCCGAGATGTGGACGCAATTGTTGCTTCCCCTTTATTGCGGATCAGATCAGAGCAGAGCGTGCGTGTCAGATCACGCTGTTACTGTAGTTGAGCATGTCCATGCTGCTGCTGTGTGTGAAAACCCTTATGGAAGTGCGTCCGCATGCATGAAAGGAACATACAGTGCTGTACAAGAAGTATGCGGATCTCACGGCGGAAATGCAATGAATGAAAATATACGTGGTATACGTGCATGGGGCCCTGCTCAACGAAAGACTTACAGTATTATGCAGTACCGTATACTGTACTGCTGCAGCCCTTCGTCAAGATGAAATATTTCTTGCATCCCGTTTTTTTTTTTTTTTTATTGGGGAAAATGACTGGAATGAGAAAGAATTTGACATAGAATGCTGGAATTTGAGCAAGTTTCTTGCTCAAACTCAAAAGCAGAAAATGGTTCAGTATTCCAGCTATGTATTTATTCCTGAAAGCTGAGAAAATAATATACTGTAGGTGTGCCTCTGGGGACGAGTTTCGTTACTAAATTTCGCATTTCATTGTCATGAAACCAGGATGAACGAGCAGAAATTTACCACGAGTTATTTATAAGCGAGGAATACAATCGCTTGAAAGAAGGGGTAAATCTGACACTTATCTAAGAGAGAAGAAAAAAAATTCCTTTACAGGATCTAGGATTCTAGGTGGTTTTTTGTTGAAATACTGTAATTTAAGTGTATAGTACTGTACAGCGTGGAATTGGTAGCTTGTCAAATGTAAACATTTTTTGTGGGTATTCGTGATTTCCTTTTGTCTGATGGAAGAAAGTGATTGAAAAAAAAGTAAACCTGAAGATAATTTTTGATCCCTATGCACAGTACTGTTCATTATATAAGCATTTTCACAAAATAAAAAATAATTAAAATAAAAGCGAAACAATATATGGTTTATATAGAAAGAAAGGAAGAAGAATGCAACACTTTACTCATGCTGTGATTATATGCATGAAGGACGAATAATAATAAATAATAATAAATAATAAGGGGCGGGGTTTCCTGTATGTGCTGTACTGTACCTGGTGGGAATGCCGGGCCACCGAAGGGGCCCTGTCCTAATCCTGCTGGCTGGAATCCCTGTCCCTGCTGCTGCTGATGATGATGATGCGCCCCGCCTGGTGATGATGGGAAAGCTCCCGGTCCCGGGATGATGGGTCCTTGGAATCCCGCCTGAGGATTCACCTGCTGGTGAAACCCGATCCCGCCGTTGGCGTATCCAGCTGTAGGCTGACTGGGGTACGGCGGACTCGGGAAGAATCCCCCACCGCCCTGGTGCTGTTGGTAATTGCTGGGGCCCGGGTAGTTGTAGCCCGGGCCAGTATACGGGACGGGGGGCACTGCCTGGAATCCCTGGTGTATTGGTCCACCCTGGTGGTGGTGGTGATGCTGCTGCTGCTGCTGCTGATGCTGCAACAGGGGAATGCCTTGGGGCCTGCTGCCGGGATAGAATGCCTGCTGCTGGGCTGTATTCGGAACGGGACGGTGAGGGGCGGTCGGGAATAATGAGTGGCCTCCGCCGAATAAGAAGCCCGTCGGTGCGTGCTGCAGGTGATGTTGGTGGTGGTGGTAGCCCTGCGGAAGGCCTCCGCCGTACTGCTGATGCGGCGCGTACTGCGGTAGTTGGAGTTGGTGGTGTTGATGTTGTTGTTGGTGTTGGTGTTGGTAGGGGTCCAGGGGGCCCGTTGTCGCTGTCGTCTGTTGCAGCCTGCGCAAGAGACTCTCTTTCTGCTGCTGCAGGATCTCTTGTTGCAGTCGGAGGCTTTGGAGCAGAACCTGCTGCTGGCCGTTGTCGGCGACAAACTGTTGTTGTTGTTGTTGTTGCTGCTGCTGCTGGTAGTGGTGGTACACCCCCAACTGGGAGCTGGTGTAGGAAGGCGCGTACTGCTGGCTCGTGTCTCGGCGTGTCGAAAGGGACGCCTTAGTGGCGCCGTCGCAGCAGAGCACCTGGCCGGTGCCGCAGCCGACCTGGAAGAAAGAAAAAAAAAAGAATAGGGGGAGAGAGGGAGAAATAGGAAAAAAAGGGGGACGTTGTTTCCGCCCGACATTATTATTATTATTTGTTGTTGTTGTTGTTGCTGCTACTGTTTGATTGTGATGACTTTATTATGGCATTGGCATCATCCTCATCACCACCACGAGGTGATGATTGGGAAGGGATAATAACCACCCGCCTGACCCTCTCCCGTCATATGTACGGTAGTACTGTACGCACGATCGACGGTAGTAAAGTGTAGATAGATGACCAGGTGTCAGTGACTGACCTGCGTCGAGATGGGGAGTGCACACGAGGCGTACTGCTGGGGACTGCAGAAGCACTGGTCGTTGTTGTAGGGCGGGAACGGCGACACGTTCTGGTGGGTGGGGAACGTCTGCAGCGACGTCGGCTGCTGCTGCTGCTGGAACTCGGCCGTGTTCAGGCTGTCATTGTACATACGGTATATACAGCATATAGTGTATATATAGGGAATGGGGGAACAGAGGAATCGAAGAAAAGGGCAACGAGAATATATATATATATATATATATATATATATACTGTATATTGCATATACAGTACATGCACTGATAAACGTGATTATTGTCCCGTGTGTTGTTGTAGTACACGATCCGATGAGTGAGTGAGTGAGAGGTACAATTTTCGAGCGAAACGAAATTCAACATATCCGAAAAAAGCAAACAAAATGTGTATTGAGGGAGATGTGTCTCTCTATCTATCGTCAATCGAAGAAGGGAAAAGAAGTAGGGTTATTTTTTGCGAGGAACATTTGTTTCTTTAGTGGAAAAGTCCCGACGATGAAACAGTGTTTCGCAGTGGTGCCCAACTCAAAAGTGGTCAAGGGCCACATTTAAAAGCAAGTCTTCTCTGCGGGCCACAATTGTAAAATACATTACTCCTTTAAATTTTCAAAAATTCAAAGTCCTTTGAATTTAAAAAAGTCTACAATAAGTCTTCTTTTAAGCAAGCTTGGCAATTCTCCGAGTAATTCATAAGTCTTTGTGTTTGAACTTGAAATGCCAGCAAAAATTGTATTCCTTGAAAACTGAAATTTTTTCATGAAAAACAAGGCAAAGCATTTTGCAATTAATGGTTGCAAAGAAATATTTTTTGTCAATTCTTCATCAAACACTCTCCATTAATTGTCAATTTTTGTGTGTCACTGCTTTTGGCCATTTTTTAATCAGAGCTTTGTTGAATGCTAAATTGTTTACCTATTACTTTCTTTGACCAGAAGAGCTTTGTTAACCATTAAATCCCTTTGCATTTTCCATTTATCTGATGGTGTTCAACCCTATTAGTCCTCTGCATGTTTTTGCAAATGAAATATTCCATCCACAATTTTTTTTCTAGAGGAAGAGCTGCAATTCAACTCATAATTTTCTTTTTGAGTGCATTTTTGTTGTCCTTGCACCATATTTCCCAGCACAAAAATTCACATAATCCTAAACATTATGAAGAAGGAATCACATAATATTCAGTTCATCACAATTCTAAAATGGCACAATGCATTGTAATTTCAATTAGTTTTCTTTTAAAAAATACACTGCAAATAAATGAATCATGCTTCACTTGTGTAACATTTCCTGAAAATGAGAACAGTGCTGCAGAAAGCTGCATGCATGTGCCAGTTTAAAGCATGGGAGCAGGGAGTGTTCAAATTCAAGTGCACACTCCCTGACTGAAAATTATGGAAGCTTCCAGAAATACTAACTGAACTTGGGTATTTTATGTTTAAACTGTGTAGGCATCAAGGAATTAATTTTTAGGAGTTTCGTAGAAAAAATAATGAAAATATATCATAAAACTTGCTGAAAACAGGAGAATTTTGCTAGAGATTTTAGCTAAGGCAATATTTTTGGGGTCCGCGGGCCAGTTTGAAGGCCTCTGCGGGCCAGATCTGGCCCGCGGGCCGTATCTTGGGCACCCCTGGTTTAAACTACAATATTGTTGATGTCAATTAATCAATCAATCTATCTATCACTTTTCGAGATGGCAATTACAGTATTGCACACGGACAAAAGTGTATCGTATATTCGTCTAGCTCTGCTAATGGGGATAATTTGAGAAACTTGAGCGCAGCTCTCGTTTTTATTTACTCGTCATATTACTGCATTTCGCGAGCTTATT